TGAACTGGGAGTGCAGCCTAGGCACCATCTCATGCTGGGAAATGCTGCCGTGGTGGTTGTCTGTTAATGATGCTGTTAGAGATTCTCTCTCTAGAAGCTTCCCCATGTGCACTCTATCATTGTCACCATTTCACATAAATGGTACTCATGTTTTCCTGAGGACAGTGTGAATCCAAATTGACTAGGAATATTGATTTTCATTAACAGGTTCCAGGCCCTACGAGTTCCATAAAACACAAACATGCGATTAGCCGTTTAATTTAGACAGATCACTTAACACACACCTTTTGTACCTTGGATACATTTTTATCTTGGAGGCTATGGAAAAGGTAATATCCTATAAGAACATAATATTTCATTCTTTCAGACAATTCCTTTGAATTGATAAATTATAGCTAAAAGGTTGGTTCAGAGAGTGAACGCTCAGCATGTAAGAACAAAACGACTTGAATGACACCTAGTGGGAAGATAAACAACTGCTGGTGATGGCAAAGCAACCGTGCAGGGAAAACAGCAAGGAGGGAGATTATGAGAATAGGTGGGAGGAGAATCACTTGATAAAATGGGTGGAGTACAATTTAGGAGAAGAATTTCCTAAGCGACAAGACTTTATCTGCCTGTGTAATAACTGGATATTTGATTTGACAGAGGAAAAATTGCATCAGCTAAAAGCACAATAAATGTGCAGCAGGACAGAATACAGATAAGATGGAATCAGAGTCTTCCTATAAAAGGCTTTAGCAGGCAGATTCTCTAGGGTGCAGCAGGTAAAAGGAATATTTTGACTCTGGAGTGACAATAACTCCTGATGTCAGAGAAACCATGGGTTTTCCTTAATTCATTTCTGTAAGCAATATTCCTTGAGGTGTGAATGGATTTCATGACTGATCTTTTATTTTTTCCCCTTCTTCTCACTTATTTATATAGTTCATTAATTACCAGTTACTCACATTCAATTACAAATATATATTTCGGTCAGTCTGCTCACCAATGTATTTGAGAGTACAAAAGAACAGATTTAATCAAAGTGATAGACCTTAAACAAGAAGCACTTTTGCTGTCCACTGACTATGTGATGTAGCCAGTTTTTTCAGCATTGGAAATGCAGATAGTGCTTGAGAAAACTTCTGTGTCTTTCTAGGTCAAGGACAGGTCATTGCCAGCAGTAAATGACTATAAAACTCCTTAAAACTGTCTGCGAAAGATAATCACATCTTCTGCCTGAATTTCCTTTTAGCAGGTCACGTGTTTGATCTGCACATTTATCTATAACTTGCAGCTTTTGTTCTTAAGCACAAGGAAACCAGTAATCTCCCTTCAGCTCTTTTTCTCTCTCTGTAAGCAGTCGCAGCACCCACACAATTCACTGGAAAAGTCAAGGCCTCAAAGGAAAGCTAATCCTGAGAAATGCACTTTTGGGGCATGAGGCAGCAAGAGAGAGGTGTTGTTTGGCAAACAGTATTTATTGTTCAGAAATACCTCTCCACCGAGAAGAGACAGAGCCTCTCATTCACAAACACTTCAAACAGATTCACTCTGTGGAAAAAAAGACTTGCAGACTCTAACAAGATTATAACAGATTATAACTATTTTTTTCAAATTGGATCTTAATAAATCCTCTTAAATGAAGAATCCTCATTTGGCCTACAAAAAGCTATAGCCCCTAAAATCATAAATGCAAATGCCCTGTGCTTCTGCCAGATACTCCCTGCACACACTCACCCCACACAGAGCTCATGGCAAGGAACAGGTTCAGGGACTCAGAATGACCAGCTGCTTCTGTCCCTGCCTGTGGCACAGCAGCTGCAGGAACCTAGGACTAACTCTGTGAGGATAACCCATAGCATAGAATTTGAGTAGGGATTCCAGAGGATTCCAATACGTAGCACCTGTGTCAGTGCAAAAAGACACACCATTTGATTTCACCATACAACAGGAAAATTTTTACTCCACGTGGCAGCATTCCTTAAGACATATGGCATAGATTGTGTGACACAGGAAACAGGCATGAGGGCAGACAGACATGAAATCTATGGCCTAGGGATGTACTTTCCAAAAACAATGAAACAATCCCTAGGAAAGAAGTATCTTCCCATTATTAGCAGTCCACTCACAGGCCCAGCTCTTGAACATCTGACAGGCAGATGAATGAGGGAGGAATCAACATTTCAACAAGGGAGGAATCACTCTCCTGCTCTTATAGAAATGACTGAAATTCAAATCGGGTTTGAGGCATTTTTGTCTTTTCCCTCTGGCACTCTCTGAATCACCTTTCAAATGCTAAAGAGCAGAAATGCACATTCAAGCGTTTTCTTAAGGAAACTCCTAACAAACCGCAGGCTCCTGGTAATTGATCAGACTTAAGGAAGAAAAGTAGCCTAAATGTAAGTGAGAATTAAACAATAAGAATTGCTATCAGAATAACTAATGTGGCAGAAAATTCCCTTCCTTTCACTTGTTGGCTTAATCTTTTTTGAACCTGAGTGACCAGAACTAAAGACTGTGTTTCAGGTAACTTCAACACTATTTCAGCTATTGCAGTTCTAATCAATGGCATTAATATTCCTCTAGCCCTTAATGATGGCATGTGACTAATGTAAGTTGATCTCATCTGACTATCATCGTCATTTTTATGTTATGGTGTGTTTTTACAGATTGTATTTAACAGTGGAAAGGTAGATATCAAACACACCTGACTGACTAAAGCAGAAGAACTGTATTTCATGGGATAACTTTAGCTCCCTCATCTCTTGCTGGGGCTTGTGTGTGTCAGCAGCTGAAGCTCAAATTAACTTTGATACCAATAGGTTTTTACAGCTGAGGGAAAAATCCCACTAGATTTCAGATGAGGTTTTCCAGACAGTGTCAGATGTAATAGGAAAAATATATTAGCATTAAAACAAAAATTCAAAATCATTTCCTCTAGTCTGCAGACAATGCAAAAACTGCCCCAAGCACTCTATGCTGTGACACAAGCCAACTATATATAGCACCTTCCAATGGGGTGGTTTCCTGTCATCTATAGGAAAGGCTCATCTTCTTTAACACACTTCCTTGGTGACTCTAGAAGGTCAGTCTGCATTGCTGTCTGCAACACTTCACCAGGCAGAGAGAAAGGAATCCAGAGAGAATCAATACTGGTAAGTGTAAGCCAGGCACCTCCCCAGCTCTTCCCTTCTGCATTTTTGACACATCTCTTGTTTCTATTTGATTTTGGATTTCTTGCTATTTATATATTAAATCAGAAGAGATCACCTTTTCTATGGGTATCACTTAAGTTTTCCCTGTCAGATGTTGTAGATTGTCCTTTTAATGTGTTTGAAAAAACAGCTTGAGTAGATTTCTTGAGGAGTTGCAGAGGAGTATCTAGCTTCAAAGCAAAGACACTCAGACTAACCACTTACTGACAAAGGGGATGGTTAAGATTAGTATTTAAGCTTTTCTGTGAAGTTTATCATTTCATGTAGCATTAACCAAATTCAACATATAGGAATGTAGTATTTAGATGAGGAGTCTAAACCTGCCTAACTTCATTTTGAAAAGCTAATTGAAAGTAAATTGAAGCAAATCAATTTAAAACAAAATCAATTAATTTCTCCTGTAACTTCAGTCTTTATGAAATGAAACTCAATGGAGAAAAATTGTCTCAGCTTATTTTAAGCTTCTAAGAGGAAAACCTTTTTTTTAGTTAGTTGGTTCTAAAATGTCCCTACACTTGCAAATATTATTTTGAATAATTCTTTTTCCAAACTTCATTCTACATTAGTATAATTTTAGCTCCTTATTGCCTTAGTATGTAAAAACCTTTTTCTCTGTTGCTGCTAACAGGTCTGCTCTACCTTCTTGCTATTTCTCAGCTTTGTTCAGTCCAATTTTAAAATCATGCTCAACTGCTTCCCTCCAAACCAAGTTATACAGCTGTTTTCACCTTCTGCAGTTAAAAAAGTTTTCTTTAAGTGTGTAGTGCATAAAATCCTAACACTACAATATCTGCCATTCTCCAAGTAGTATCCACAGCAACATATGATCACGTATTTTTGCTTCAATACTTACTTATTGCAAATTAATTAAGAGGGATAAAAGGAAGGAAATCTATTTTAAATATAGAATATATTAAAATCATAAAGAGAGATGGTTTCAAGACTGGAATTTCCCCAACCAGTTCAAGAGAGTTTGTATTTCAAATTCCAATCCTGTCCCAATGTTTATTATGTATTTTTAAATGCATAGAAGTAGTAGGAAATACAGGGAGGGAACAGTTTTAGAGGTTTGAAACTGCTAAACAAAAGAGACTAAGGTAGAAGACTAGTGGGATCCACTCTCCAGAAGTGGGAATGATACAGCAAAGGGGTAATTACCTGCTAGCCCATAGCATATTTATTTAATCCCTAAAAGACAAGCAGTACCAGATATGCCAAATTTCCAATTCTCTATTCAGCCAAATCTTAAACTGTATGTTCTCAGGGATGCATGAAGCTATAAGGGGGCAAAAAGAGAACTTTTTTCCACATAAAAATAGATATTTCCTAGTTAGAATCTTCATACTCCCAGAAGTAAGATCTTTAGACATTTACAATTACTCAATAGCTTAAGCTTCATTTTGAAAACTGATTTCAACACACATTTTTAACACTAGATCTATGAAGATATCAAAATGGAACAAAACCATTTGCCTCAAACTACCCTAGTTTTTACCATCATCTCCTGGTGACAATCTGTTCCAGAACTTTGAACAATAATGTACCTTGTACAATTAATGAAGGAAAAGCAATGAACTAGAGACAAAATGGAAGAACTGTACTCTCTCCCAGGGCATTTCAACTAATGCAAAGAAGAATGGTTCTGTGGGAAATACTGAAAGCTAAAGATTTTATTCCAAAAACCTAAACCTCACGAGTAATCCCGGGAAAGAAATAACTGTGCTGTGGTTCTGCACTTAGAAACATGCTAATGAATCATATTTATCAGATTACTATTCCTGTTCTCTCGGTAGCTGAAGCATGACCAAGCTAGAATTCATCACTGTCGGGGGATTTGCCATGCTGGTGCTGCTCCACGTGACCCAAAGTGAAGTGTGTCCTGCCTCCTGCAGCTGTAAGTCCCTGGGAGAAGCTCAGGGCCTGCATGTGGACTGCAGCTCAAGGCAGCTGAAGGCAGTGCCAGCCTTGCCCCGTGCCACCCAGAGGCTTTATCTGCACAACAACAGCCTGAGCGCGGTTCCTGCCGGAGCCCTGGACAGTTTGCTCAGCCTGCAGGAGCTGAACGTGTCTGACAACCCTTGGCACTGTGACTGCCACATCATGTACCTAAAACTCTGGCTAGAAGACTTCTCTGCGCCCTCTCTTGCAAACATTAGGTGTGCAACTCCAGCTCCTGTGAGGATGAAGGCCTTGAGGCAGCTGACTGGGAATGAGCTGGGGATTTGTAAGAGGCTTCTCCCAGTCAAGTGTCTAGAGTTCCTTTGGCGAGACCTCATTTTAATTGCTGGAGCAATAATTACACTCCTTTTACTAGCATGGGCTCTGAAATTCTCAAAAAAGATGGTCTGCCAACTGAAGCTCAGCCAATACAGGCCTAGGGGCCGACTGCTGAGGAGGCACATCTCCAAAAACCACAAGATACAATGAGCTGTTCACCACCACCAGCTGAGCAGCAACATCAACTCCTCTACAACAAAACCATGTGCACTGCTAACATCAGGTTAAGTGGTGAACATACTACAAACAGATCCAGAGCTCAAAGCCTGGGTCCTCAGACAGACAAGTTTGATGTAATTTCCTTCCAGAAATAAGCTTGGTGAGGTATTGACAGGCAAGTTTAATTTCACTGCCAACTACTCATATGAAGAGAATGTTTTTATATCATCTAATTTAGCATTTTCCCACTGAATTCTCAGCTCTTATGGCAAGAAGAGTTACATCCCCAAATCCTACACTTATTAATCCATGGAGATGGACACCAATTGTACTGTTTTAGCAATTCTTTTTTTGCTCAGAAGCTCTGTGAGTTTGCAACCTGTTACCCTCAGTGTGCCAGTGAGCTTGGTAGGCCCATTCTTGTGTGCAGAGAAGCTCAACCATCTCTCCCCCAGGTTCAGGAGTTTCCTGCCAGCAAAACCACTATGATTATGTAGACTAGCCACTGAATGTATCCCTTGCTGAATATACTTAAAGATGGACTAGTAACCAGAATATTATCAGCAAAAACAATTTTAAATATGATTGAATTTCCTGGAGAATGAACAATAAAAAAGCATTCTATGTGAAATGGAAATAATGGATGTTTATTGAGCATTCAGACTCACCAGAGTTTGATCTCTTTCAGAATTTTAAACATTGCTGATTAAAATCCTAAGTAGTTTCCAGAGCTTGTCTTCCAGTTTTACTACAGATGCACTGGATTTTATGTCACAGCTTTGAGAGATGTACACTCTTCCCTTCTCCTCTTGCACACCCCATCCTCATAGAAAAATTGTTGGTTTCTCCCCAGCCTCGTTCACAAGAGCGAAGAACAGCATTTCATGGTGTGACCCAGTCTGCTCTGGTGAAGTCAGGCCACTGAGATGGGAGAGCTCTGAAGGTCTTCTAAAATAAAGCTACTGTTGAGAGTTCAATTGAAGACATATTTTGCAAATGTTCCTCCTAACCCCACACCTGAGCTAGGTACTAGAGGTTACCTGCTGAAGATGCTAGAGACTGCTTGGCTCTTTGCCTAACACCTTGTCATCTGAGTGGGCTCCTTGTTAAAGCCACAATCTCCCAGCAGAGCTGATGGTTAGCTTGCTTCTGATAGGGGGTTTTGCAATTACCATGTGCTATCACTTCTATAAGAGGCCATGAACACTTAAATCAAAGACAGCAGAAGCTTACAGGGATACTTCCCTGTCCTTCTTGCCCCTGCCAGAGCACTTCAGCAATATGGGGTCAACCTTCAACGCTGACTGCTGGTGACTGTCTCAGGCAGCTTTTAGAACACACATTACATCCCTTCCCTGCTGGTCCTCTCTGCTGCACTAGCAGGGAAAGGCCAATGTGACACATCACACTTGTCAGCCTAAATCAATGCCCATTCAGGACGAATCCCCTCTCCATGACACAAGGAATAGCCACTGAATCCATGGTGGGACTGCTGAAAGCACCTCTGAAGTGCAGATGGATTTGGGGAAAGGGCATGCACCTTGGGTAGAGGATTACACAAACCAGCAAGAAACTGTAATATGGCACTTTAAACTGTGAAAAGGAAAAAATAGAGTCAGATGCTTTCCCTGTAAAATAACTAATGATACATTGCAATATGAAAGCCTTAAAGCGATACACAGTAGGGAAACAAGAAGAGGGAAGGTATAAATGCACTCAGAGTGCCAAGAAAGCAAGATTGTACACCTAGGAACAAAAGGTGGGTTGAGGACTCAGTTTAGAGAAGGCAAATAATCCAGTAATCATGGGGGAATGTGATCTTTTCTGGTTAAAATAGGGAGTATCATACAGTGATAGAAAGGTTTATTTACCCCCATGTTCAGACAAACTATTATAATTCAGCATGAATGTCTATAGATCAAGAATCAGCAGCAGAAGAATCAGAAACACAACAGTAATGCAAATAAAGGATAAGAAAATAGACCATAAAAGGAGATTAATTAATTTCTTTTAATAAAGAGAAATTTAAGAGATGACAAGATCACAGCTTGTACAAATCTACATGAAGAGAAACTTGCTAACAAAGGACTAGGAGCAGAAATTAGAAGATCAGACTACAAACAGGGCCGAAAATCTAACAGTGAAAATAATTATACACTGAAACACTTTACCAAATGTCATGGCAGATCCTACAGCTTAACCAACATTGGGTATTTTTCAAATTGGTAGGTGCTATCTGAAATGAGAATGATTTTATGAGAATTGTATGAGACACCTAAAACATTACAACTATTCCTTGGCAGGTGATGCTTTGCTCAGTGTGGTGAGTGGTGTCTTTTTAACACATATACACCTCTTACTCCCTCACTCTGGTGAACTCATCAGTGCCCAAGTAGCCCAAATTTCAGGCATTAGACAGCCAAGTGCTCCCACCTAGTGGTGCAATAGCTTTAAGCATCACCGATGCTGTTAATGAGTTTAACACCCAGTTACTGCTCTGAGCTCCACTGACACAAAAGATGCCATTGTTCTGCAGCAGATGCAGCTGCGATAGAAACCTTCCTCTCCCCCAGCCGCACGGTTGGTGCAGGCTGTCTCCCTGCTCCAAGCTAAGCGCAGTCTCATAGGAGCAAACGGTAAAGTGGCATCGCTAGGACCACAAGTTTCATGCCACAAATGGACTTCAGAGGCTGCAGAACAACCTCCTTCAGCCGAACTCCTGCAGTTTCACATGATGCAATCCATGTGTGACTCCCAAATACTCAATTCCCTAACTCACAATAAGGCTTTTCACAAGATTAGGAAGGGCACATTTACGTAACAAGGCAGTTTTTAATACTATCAGTCCAATTTTATGCTGCTGCCAGAGGAGCTCGGCGGGTGTGCGAGGGCCGAGCTGGAGGGTCCCGCGCGGGCCTGGGGGCGCCATTC